TGCCCTCATGTCAAGGGGCCAATTGCGCATCCAACCGGACAGCGGTGGACCATGGACACGGCGCCGACATGCCCCAGGGAGACGCAGCACGACAAGGAGCTCGACAAGAAGGAGGCCCAGATCGGGACTGTTTACCACGGTGCCGACTTGGCAGAACTGCCATCTATCTGGGGCAAACAGGGCCTCTTCGAGTTGAAGCCAAGACCTTCGGACTGCGAAAACGTTTGCGGCCTTTTCTTCGAAAGGGCACTTCGCCGTACTTCTTGTGCCCACTATGGTACATGCGTCGTCTGACGTCAGACCTGCGATGACTCTATACTCTTGCATTTTCGAGCTGCAGGTGGGTCGCAACCGACGCGCAGGCTATCCCAAGATTCGCGTCCACAGGCAGTGTTGCCGAACCGAAGGCGGCGTCTACGTCAATGCGCTCTGGATTCACGCTGCGACGATGAGGGGGATCTGGGGCAAGCTACAGGCGGAGGAGCAAGTCTTTGGACGGTGCCGGGCCTGGAATTGCACGGTCAGGATGCACCTCGCGGCAGAGGCCATCCCGACGGCGTTTCCGAGTGTCCACGCGTGCGCAGACGAGGCGAGCGATTTTTCTGACTTCCGATTCTCCGGGCCAAGCTGGTTCCCAAGGACGAGAAATTGGCTCCGCAGTGGATCAAGGAGCTCAGCGCGGCAGATCGTTTCCTGGAGCGCACAGGCCAACAGTGCGACCAACGGGAAATCGAGCCACAGAGTTTCATGGATCAGATGGGGCAGGCTACGGACGCAGATAAGTTAAAAGGCTTCATCATGGACCCCGGGTCGGACAATCCCTTCAAGGCTCTCCCCTAGAGATGCTCCCAAGTCCTACGTGTTCGTGAAGCTGCACCAGCTGCGCGTATACTATGAGAGGAGTTGCATGTTCTGAGACGAGGCGGCGTTTCGGCTGCAGGAAAGGTAGGAGCTGTGGTTGTCAGGCCCCTGTCAGCCTTCTTCCTCCTGCGCCTCTTTCTGCACTCCCTTGTGCGCCGCCGTATCGGCTCACAAGGGCCCCTGAGATGTCGCGGCGCGCCGGCGACGGGCGCGCCCGCGCCTCCGCACAAGGAGAGAGAGCGTGCTGTCTTCTAATACGGGTCCTCCGATTTGTCCCTAGTGTCTCTCTGTATCCATGCAGTCACCCCCGTGCAATCCACACTTCTCAGAGCCCACTCAAGCCTGATACCCTCCCTATACATGCGTCCAAAGAACTCCTCGGCCCCCTCAACAACGAGCGGACATTCGTCACCGCCCTCGTCTTCCACCGGCCACGAACGACCAAGAGGGCAGCGAAATACACATACCAACGATTCTCCCAAACTTGTCGATGGATTTGGATTCGGCGCACGCGGCCCCCAAAACGCCACGAAGGCCTCCAATTGGCCCTTAGTCGTCGCATTGGCCCAAAAACACGCGCGAACTTAGGAATATTTGACCACGACAAAGAGCTCGTCATTGCGTGCCCCTCTTCGAACGGTGGGGCTCACCACCCCTTCTCCGAGCGATGACCTCCACCCCCTCGCGGTCATCAGCGTCGCCCCCATCGTCGCGCCGACCCCTGCCCCTTTCCGACGGCCCTCACATCCACCCCGCCCCCAGTGCCGGCGGCCCCCATTCGCGCCCATGGACGTGGTTTGTCGACATCATGACCTTCACCCACTTCGCGGTCATCACATCAGCTCTCTCGCTGCCGGAAGCGCTTTCCGTCATGACTTGCCCCCGTTTCCATGACTTGCCCCCGTTTCTGGCGAGTGCGGGACCGTCTGTCTGGTCGTGCCCGTCCTCCTCGTCGTTCTCGTCTTCTTTTTTCCATTTCTGCTTCTTCTTTCTCGTTGTCCTCGCTGCGGATCATTCGTTCGTGTTTTTACTCCGACCGCAGCCCCCCTCATGCTCACTTCCACCCACCTCTCATGCGTGACTCAGGCCTGGTCACATCCCCCTCATGCTCACTTCCTCCCACCTCGCATGCGTGACCCCGGCCCCGTCACACCGATGTCCTTGCTCCCACGTCACAGACATGCTTGTGGCCCGTTCCGGGATAATGACCCTGCCCCCCCCCCCGCGGTCATCATTTGCTCTCATCAATCGCCCACACCGAGTGGGCTGGGCGGGAGCGCATGGACGCCAGACCAAAATTGAGGCGAAGCAAAGCAAGCCTTCAAATCTTGTGTGCAATTTCATACATACGCACCGATCGCAAACTGGCCCGGCAATAATCGCACATCGAAGACTTGCACAATCCGCCCCCCCCCACCCTCCCCCCCGCAGCCTCCGCAGCACCCGAATGGTGGTCCATGCGGTCTGCACAAGCAAACGTGCAGGAATAGTATATACATCGGAGCGAAGGGCTTCCGCTCACGCGAATCCAGTCCAAGTCGCGCGCGCGTTGGCTGCTTCGGGGCAGGCGAACGTCGTCGTAGTTCTCTTCTTCTTGTTGCGGGCCCGGGGGGGGGGGGGGGAAGAGCTGGCGCGGCCCGGCCGGGGGGGCCCACGCGCACGTGCACGTGTGGGGGCCCGGGGGGGTGGGGGGGCTGGGCTGGAGACCCCACCGCGGGGGACCCGCGGCCGCGCGGCCCACGGGCGCCGCCGGTCGACGGGCGCGGGGGAGGGGGCCCTCGCGTGGGGCCCGCGGCGTCGTGGGGGCCCGCCGCTGCGGCGCCCCGGGGTGGCGTTGGTAGTGGTCTCGCGGAAATGCAGTGTTGAAACATACAACATCGGCGTCAGCGGCGGGCCTCTTCACTGAGTGTGCCTCTCGAGTTTTTTCCGGCGACCCATTTGGGGGGCCGACGGCGTCGTGGGGGCCCGTCGCCGCGGGGCCCACGGGTGGCGCCAGCTGTGGTTGCGCAGAGACGCAGCAACGTTGAACACACACACACAAAACAAAACAAACCAACACAAACAAACAGCGCCTGCGGCGCGCCTCTTCGTCGAATTCAAGGGAAGAGAAACCACCCAGACCGGACAATTGACGTTTACTAAACGGCTTTGGATGTTAATTGTCGATTCCTTGTTTGGGCGCGTTTGCTAAACGGCCTCGCTTGTCGGGGTGCTCATTATGGGGGCGAATTTTCTGTCTTCTATGAATGCTGCACTGAATTAGTTTCAGTAAGCCGCCCGGGGGAATCGCGGCGTCGTGGGGCTCCATTGTTGGCACCGGTCTTGGCTACGCAGAAATGCATGTTCAAAATGAAAAGCTCGGTGCCTGCGGCGGGCTTCTTCTTTGTCCAGTTCACAGCACGTCGCGCCGAGAACACAGCAACCCCTCATTCCTATCCGCACTTGCGGGGGTATGGTGTATCTATATATATATATATGTTCATATATATATAGCGGGGAAGATAGGCAAAGAGAGAGTGAGAGAGAGACGAGAGAGAGAGAGAGAAAGAGAGGTGAATGTGAGAGCAGCGCATGATCGAATCGTGACTCGTGGACATGGTTTGCCCCCGAAGGCGGCTTCATGTGTTGGCTCCCTGGCTCCTGAAACTTATTGTTTGAGCATGGGTACGGGGGCCCCCAGAAAGAACAAGAATTGCATGATTCAGAGGCAATTCTGTTTGATGACTTGGCTGCACAAATCTGCACCTGTTGAGCCAAAAAGATGTGGCATTGAGTTGGGGGTTGAGCTTGACTCTTGGCAGAAGGAGCGCTCGAGAGTCCACCAGTCGCTGGCCAGAAGCACGTTTCCATCCGAGGCCCTCATCCAGCTCCAGCAAACAGTTAGCATGGTGGCAGGCCTTGGATCCACAAGCTGCTGTCCTAATTAGTTCCGTCATACACTGCATTGAACGTGTTACCCCCTTCCGAATAGAGGTTCCCCCATTGAAGAAGATCCAGCGAGACCCCGCGGCAGCTGCGATAGCTCAAATGAAGACCCCGTGTCCACTAGCGGTACAGCTCTTGTCTGCGATGTTGTTTGGGCATGGCGCCCAGCTCCATGATTATAGCAACAAGGTTGTCCCTAAGCGACGGTGGTCGTCCGTATGGTTTCCCGCGTTGTCTCCCGTGCGGTCTCAACTCCCGCATGGTTGTCCGTTCGGTTTCCAGTGCGGTCTTCCGTCTTGTCTCCGTTAAGGTCTCCCGTTTGGTCTCATTGATGGTTTGTTAATCGTATTCTCTAGAGTGGTCATTGTATGACTTGTCTCTTCACCGTCTAGAGTACTATACGTAGTGGTAGGTAAATTCAGCGTTATGATATCGTTGGGGTGATGGTGTGGATGTGTAACCAAGTCTCAGCAGAGCGAGACCATGGTTAGTTTTATAGACTTACCAGCCACCTCGCGAAGTTAACATGTCTGCGCATGGATTTCTCGCATCTGATATTGTCTCATGCTTGTGCTGGGCTGCCGTAGAGCTCTTTAGCCATGCATGTTCGATGCCTGCCAGCTGCACTCACACCAATATTAGGCGGACCCCTCCTGGCTCAAAGTGGCTTCTCCAGGGTTGATGCCAGCATCTACGTTTCATGTTAAGCCACTTCTCGCCAGCTCTCCCTGCACGTTATTCTCAGCTTCGAGATCATGTTTGGTACACGATGTCACATGTCTGCCCACAGCTTTCCTTTCGCGGATCAGATCCTGGACCCACATAGTACTACTAGTGATGATGTGATGAGTTTGCAAAAGATGGTCGTTTACAGCTGATAGTTTGACCATCAGTTCGACAGCTCTATTTCACGGAATGGTTCAACGAAACAACGATCAACACGTTCCTTCCGTCTTGCATTTCCTCTGAGACGCAAGTTGATCAACCATGGAACGGGCATACGAGCAGTTTGGTGAGAGCGTTGTGACCACATCTGTCTGTTCAGCTTTGCATTTTTGAGTGCCTCCAGGGTAGCCCTAGCAGGCACAGCAGGTTCCTTGAACAATCCATGACAGTTGCGCTGCACCATGCACTCAGATGATGTTGCAGCGGTGTGAGCCTCAGTGGCTGTTTTTGGTTACCTCCCCCCCCGCATCTCGCCCATCCGCGGCGAGGTTAAGGAGATGTTGGAGGGGACCTACCGGGCTGGAGAGAAGCAAGACGCTGGTGTCAAGGATCGGGTTGCACGGGAGAAGAGGGGATGGCTCGTAATCTTCGAAGCACGGAGTATGCCGCTGTGCGTAGTTGGAGTGCAACGGCCAGTGGATAGTTGGTGGAGAGTGTTGCCGGGACTGAGTAGCGGCAGCCCGTGCCCGGAGCATGATGTGACCCTCCCAGCTGATGTTACGTCAGGCTTGCCTCCCTCTACAGGAGGAGTATTCAAAAATATTTACAAAATAGCCAGGGGACTATTTTTGAGTTATTTAAAGTATTTTGAGTTTTCCTTTTATTTTTTGCTCCTGTTGCCAAAAATCCCCTTGTAGGGGGACCTGCCCGATCTAAAGTTGATGTCATTTGGCGACATCCCATAGAACCGCATCCCTAGAATTGTTAAGACTTCTATGTCGTCTCGAGAATGCGTCCCTGAGCTATGAGGGCCTCGTCAATGCTCTGACCGTTGCAGTCGTTTCGCTAGACTGGCCGAAAGAAGGCATGGCAGCTTGGAAGTCGTGAAACGGATGGGAATCGTTGTTGGGATGGGGGGTGGTCTAAACGAGGAGTCTCACATAGAGAAAGGGATTACGCCGTATGTTCTGCATCCGAAAATGTGCATTATGGGAACTTGCAATAGCACACACACACACACACTAGGCCGCGCCGTCCCAGTAGGTCATGCGTCACAGTGTGCACGTTAATTTCTTGGATTTTCTGTCGCGTGGATACCGTCGTGATGACAGGGTCAGATGGTTGATTACACGTGCTGATGCGACAGAAGCACCAGAGAGGCGCCAAAAGCTCGAGATCCCGAGTGGGTCCCGAACAAGTCATTGGGCTTGTGAAAGCGTTCTAACTTTGCTTTGAGGGCGCGAGGGTTTCCAAGCCATCCTTTGGGCCTGGTGTCGTCTTCAAAGCCATGGTGGCTTGTGTACTTGGAGGCCAGGCATGATTGTGGGAAGGGCATCTACAGGAGGGCGAGGGATCTTTAGATCCGTTCTAATCTGCCCTATGTCTCCGCTGGGTCGTAAGCCGTCTGGAAAGCCATCCGGGACGTTGCTTGGCATTCAAACGGCGAGCTCCTTGCTCTTAAGTTGTTGTCCCATTGATCCGATCGACGAGTTTGTGTGCAAAAGCATGTCTTCTTTTCGAAATCGTGGCTTGTCGTAGAAGTATTGACCAGTACTCACCAGAGGCATCGTTAGACATGCGCAAAGTATCTGGATGAGTTGCTCCACGTGAAGGGCGGGCGGGGTCAAGGGCTTCCCTTGTATACGACAGCGCCCTGTTATAGTGGAGATCTGCCCTCCAGCGCTTGGAGGTAGCATGCCGTTTCTCCGTTTAACGACTCGACATACTTCGCGAGATATTTTGGCTTTTGGGAAGCGGGCTTGGGGTTCGGAGGTCTCAAGGTCGGGTCTGCTTGCTAGAGAGCCGAATATCTACATGTCGTACGTCCAGGGAGCGACTCCAAAGACGCTTTGGCAACGACCGCCGACTCAATATTTTGCGAATCGCACATGTCCTGCGTAGTTGCGTGCTCAAGCGCAGGGGTTTCTGTCATGGTTGTCACGCGCGACCCCCGCCTCCCAATGTGGTTAGCTCCGCGCCGTTATGTGGATCATTGCAGGCCTTGGCTGAGAAGTTCAACTTGGACGAGAGGGCAACGTATAAGCTCGGCGATACGCCCCTCTTGTCTTCCCTTGCTCGCGACATCTCTCTCCGCGCTCTCTGCCTCTGTTTCTATGCACGGCCCGCTCCGCTACGATCGATCCGATTCGATGCCGAATTCTCCCGGCTCGATACGATTCGATGCCGACGCTCAGCGATCCGATGCGGCCCGCTGTGTGCGTGGCCGTTGTTGCACATCCTGGCGCGGCCGACCCAGTTCGACCTCGATGTCGGTGCCGGTACCGATGCGGCCCGGTCCGGCGCACGTGCCGACTCAACCCGACTTCCCCAATCGATGTTGATTGATGTGTTTCTATTTGGATTGAGCTCAAGTCGGGCCTGTCCTTCTACAGGAGGAAAATTCAAAAATATATATATGTAAATTAGCCTGGCGAAGGGCCCAACCATATGCAATTGCGAATACCGCAATCGCGAATATCATCTTCACCCGCGCCTCCTATGGGGCCACAAACCGCGCGAGGGGCGCGCCGACATCCGCGGCGTGACACGCAGCGCGAACGAAGACGATAGGTCTGCTCGAGAGATTGAGAGCAGATGAGTCTGATCGCGAGTGGGTCTGATTGTGAATGAGTCTTCGCGTGCGTGAATCTGCGCGCATAAATGTCGACGCCCATGTCGACGCGCCCCTCGCGAGGATCGTGCCCGCTTCCTCCCCGTTATTATTCTGCCATTTTGCCTTCGCGCGCCAACGTCCAAGGCTGCGGGCGCGGCGCCGCGCGGAGTCCCCGCGACGCGCGCCTGTCGCCCCGAAGGGGTCCCAGCGACGCGCGCGGGTCGTCCGCTGCGCAGAGCAGAGTGAGCTAGCTAGTTCGCCGATACCGGGCAAGGCTCCCTCTGGCCGCTGGGCAGAGCGACGACGGGGGCGAGCAAGGCGCCGGGCAGAGCGCAGCGTGGAGTTCCCGCGACGCGCGATGGTCGCCCCGAGAGGGCCCCAACGACGCGAGCGGGTCGCCCGCGGCGCGAGGCCAAACAATCAGATCGCCGAGAGACGGCGATGCTCGGGCGGGCCGCTCCTCACGTCAAGCTTCGCGGATAAACTCCCTGAAGCTCAGCTCCCTGGCGAGGAACGTCGCCTCTCTTCTGCGCCGCTTCGCGCGTGCCGCAAACTGCTCCAGCTGCTTCCGCAAGCTCTCCGGCCGCCCTGCCACATGAGCAGGAGGTCCTCGTGGCGCGGGCGCGCGAGAGCAGCGCGTAGAGCTCCAACCGCCAAACGTCGTCCTCCTTCTTGCCGTTCCCGACCTCGTGGCGGCTGCAGTCCAGGATCACTCCTGGGCGACGTCGGCCGAAGGAGCAGCGCGCCGGGCAGCCGACGGCCCAGGGCGAGAGTCCACAGGATCGAGGTCTGGCGGAAGACTGCCCGCGTCCAGCAAGTCTGGCCGTAAACTGCCCCGGAGCGCATTTCCCTCGCCCCGTCGCCTTCGCGCATGGTGCGCCCCTGCCGCTGGAGCCGTCGGTGGAGCTCCCCATGGGGCCACGAAGCGTGTGAGGGGTGTGCCACAATGGGGCGGCGCCGCCGTGCGAGTTCCGCCACTGGGACCTTAGGTGGAGCTCCCGATAGGGCCACGAAACGTGCGGCGAGGCCGCCGTGGGAGTTCCGCCACTGGGACCTAAGGTGGAACTCCTTCTGGGGGCACGAAACGTGTGAGGGGTGCGCCCAAATGGGGCGGGGATGCCATGCGAGCTCCGCCACTGGGACCTTCGGTGAAGCTCCCTATGGGGGCACGAAGCATGTGAGGGGTGTGCCAAAATGGGGCGCGGATGCCATGCGAGTTCCGCCACTGCGACCTCCTATGGGGCCACGAAGCGTGTGAGGGGTGTGCCACAATGGGGCGGGGATGCCATGCGAGTTCCGCCATTGGGACCTGCGGTGTAGCCACCCATGGGGCCACGAAACGTGTGAGGGGTGTGCCAAACTGGTGCGGGGCCGCCATGCGAGTTCCGCCAGTTGGAGCTCCTTATGGGGGCACGAAACGTGCGAGGGGTGTGCCAGCATGGGGCGGGGATGCCGTGCGAGTTCCGCCACTGGGACCCCAAGTGGAGCTCCCTAGTGGGGCCACGAAACGTGTGAGGGGTGCGCCACAATGGGGCGGGGATGTCATGCTGAGTTCCGCCACTGGGACCTTACGTGGAGCTCCCTATGGGGCCACGAAGCGTTGTAATGGGTGGGTGAAACGCAGGGAGGAAAGAGGAGGAGAGGAAGGAGGAAGGAGGAGACGCGCCGCACCGCCTCTTCAAAACGAGGACCCAACACCACAGGATGGTTGGGACAAGTAGTATATGAACACTTGTTTTCGTATTTTTTACAATTTGGAAACATTTTCGGTGTATTGTTTTCTTCCAAAATCCCCCTGTAAGGGGGACGTGCCCGACCTGAGATTGGGTGTTGGACGAGATCAGCGCGGCGGCTCGGCGATACGCGCGCCGCGCGGGGCGTTCCAAAGAGGGCCCTGCCCTCGAGGATCGAAGCAGTGGCCATCTCTTTCGCGGCGGAGGGCGGCGGAAGGCCGGGCCGGACAAAAGGGGGGGATTGGGAAAGGGGGGGGGTACGAATTCCGTCTCCTCCTCCTCGAGCCCTCCTCCTCCTGGTTGCGAACTTTGCTGCATGCAGCTGGTTTCGGCCCAACCGAGGGGCCCACTCCTCGATACATAGCCGCCTCAGGCGCCGGGAGGCGCCGGGAAAATCAGCTACGTGAGCTGATTCTCAAACCCCCCTATGCTATCCCCCCCTTTCGCCCGACCCGAGAAGGGCGGTGGAAGGTCGGCGGAAGTGAAACGAGGCCGAAGCCTGCGGAAGCTCATCGGAAACCGGCGGAAGTGAAAGTCGGCCTCCCAAGAGATGACATCGTCTTTGGGTTCAGGGTTTCCGAAAACACCCATGCGTCCTCTCTCTACCCACTCTCGGCCTCCGTATCTGTTCGGTTTAGGCACTCGGTTAGATCGGCTTCGCGGCGTGGGTCCAGAAACGAACGTGGTTCATTGGCTGCGCAGAGAACCATCGTTTTCCAGTCCAGGCACTCTTCTTCCTCCTCCTCCTCCTCCTCCTCCTCCTCCTCCTCCTCCTCCTCCTATAGCAATGAGGCCATCAGAAGGGGTTCGTCGACGGTAGAGACGAGGGAATGGAGGGGGGGACGTGGGAACGGTGGAGTAGATGGGGGGAAGGGAGGGAGGAGGATTGGACAAGTGAGTGAGGTATCAAAAACGAATACGCGCCCAAGAGGAGGTGGCAACATACACCCACTGCGCTCTGAGCCTGCAACGGCCTGTGCTGGAACCTAAAGCGTACGCGAAGCACGCGCGTGGCCTTAGGGATGACAAAGCAGAGACCGTGATACGAAAAAGTTTGCTGAGGAGGAGGAGTTTTGTTTCTCTCCTTTCAATCAGGGGTGGACGGACCCCCCACCCTGACACGTCGATTAGTGAGTTGTCCGTCTTCGGTTCTCGAGAGGGCGCCGCGGCCGTCGTTTTCCGGGCTTGCGCCCGCCAGGTTTGGGCCCGAGGTCGTTTTCACTAAACAACGTTTTGCTAAAAGGGACACACGTCCCCATCCCCGATTCAACCTTCAATGTTGAGTCGGGCTTGTCCCTCTACAGAGGGAATATTCAAAAATAGTCAAAAAGTTGCCTGGGAACGACTTTCTGGCATTTGTTTGATTATGTTTGAGTATGTTGGGGGTATTTTTCATGCTTCGCCCAAAGTGCGCCTGTAGGGGGACCCGCCCGACCTCATTTTGATGCCAGCCAGCATGCAGGCTCGGCGCGCTCTGCTGCGGGACCCCGGGGCGAGCCCCCGCACGAGCGGCCGGAGAGCGGCGGTGCTGTCGGGCGGGCCGGGGGGGCGGCAGGCCGCCTGGTAGGGGGCCACACGGGAACCCTACCTACCCCTACCCCCTCACGATTTCTGAGGGGGAGGGTGGGGTTCCCTTCGCTCGGGAGCTCCCGAGCGCAGCGAACCCAACCCTCCCCCCTCGGAAATCTTGGGGGGGGCAGGGGTCAGGTCAGGAGGAAAAGAAACACACAGACACAATCAATCGTCGACTCCGCAGAAAATATGGGAAAAGTTGGGAAGTGGGGGGGGAAGACAAAATCCCAGGACATATGGGAAACTATTGGGAATCTGTTTATTTGTGTGTATTTATTTGTGTGTCCCAGGGCCCCTTCAGCAGGGTTCGCATGCGGCCCCCTACGCCTGGGGCGAGGCCCGCCGGCCCCCGCGCCACGGCGGACGGAGGCGGGCGCGGGGGAGAGGGCGGGGGTCGAGCCTCCGCTCCTTCCCTTGGTGCTCTTTCGCCGGCTTGGTATCGCTCGGGCGTGTGCACTTTTTCTCGGCGGGGGTTCTTAAGGAGCATCTTGGAGCATCCTGCGAAGGAACCGCGCACGAGACCGAACAAAAGCACAGGGAATGGACGTCCGAGCGACGGGGAGCTGGGGTCGAGCCCCACAGTTGTGTCTCACCTCTCGCGTCTCACCCTTTTCCCCAAGGAGCCCCCGACCCCCTCTGTGTTCAGACGAGGGGTGCTCGGCAGGACAGGCGGTTGCAGGATCACCTTCAGCTACCGTTAGCAGCAGCAGCAGGGGGAAAAGGAGAGAGCCTAGGTGTCCTCCTCTGTTCGAGGCGTCCTCCAACCTCCTTCTCGAGTGTTCCATTCCCGCATGCCGCTGCACCAGGTTGCAGGGGAGAAGACGAGCACATTACAGAAGGCAGCATGGGAAGTGATGGTGTGGATAAGAACTGCTGGACTCTAACCTAAGCTCGCGTGACACGCGCGTGTGATTCTAGCATGAGTGCACTTGCATAATGCATGCATGAATTGATCCGTTTGCGCAGCATCGTTTTGAAGAAGCCGTCCCTCAGGCGAGGTGTTGTCGACGAGGCCAAACCGGAAAGAGGTGAGCTTGCCGCGCGCGTTGGTTTGCTTCCATGCTCTTGCCCCAGTGCCTAGTATTGCTCTGGCCACCCCAGCTATGCAAGCCTAGGTCTTAGCCACAGCACTTTCTTGGTCCACGGAGCACCTCCAAGATTCAAACTCCATGCCAGCTGCTGCGAGGGGGCGAAGCAGCCTGTCTCCCTGCCCGTTTTCCTAGGACCACGTCCTGTCGTCCCGGCCACAATCAGCTTGAACGTCCGGAATCTTTTTTGTTGATCCAGTGTGGCAGAGGGCGTGGAGGGCCAGGACCAACGACACATAGACACAATTATCTGGTGGCCTCCAGCCCATCCCGCCTGGATCGTGGAGAGGCGACCTTTTGGATACCTCTTGGAGCCTTGAGGGAGACCTTGCGGGGGCATGTTCGCCTCCTCGGGGCACCTTCTCAGGGGCGTGTTCGAGGACTCCTGTAGACTCTGAGAGCCTATTTGGGATTTCTTGGAGGCATGCTGGTTTTCGCGATGTTCCTCCGGGGACGGCTCCACATGGCAGTTCGATTATCGTTCTCTGGAGCCTCGCTGGAGCCTGAAGACTCTGGAGCCCCTCCTAGGGGGCCAGGGCACCATCTTGAGACCATCTTGGGATCCTCTTGGTGCTCTCTTGGGAGCCTCTTGGGCTGCCTCGAGCGCTCTTAAGATCGAAGATGTCATACAAAAATCAGATTAAAATATATTGTTGTTCCATGGCCTCTTGGACTGGCCCCCAGGGCCTCCAAGACGGCCCAAGAGGCGCTCACGAGGGCTCACGAATGGAAGCGAGGACTCGTGGCGACCCACAAGAGCGCCAAGAGGCGCCCGAGAATGCCGTGAATCGGGGGCTTGGGGCCATTCAAGAAAGAGCATGTGCAGTCTTAAATGAAGAGACCTCGAAGGGATCTGAGGACATTCCACTCAGCGCCTCGCGACACGACCGCGGATTTCCCATTCTTTCCTGGGCTATTGGAGCAAAATTGCAGACTGCCTCGTGGACTTATCCCCGCCCAGAGACGAGGCGTGGGGAACGCGTCGTGTAATATATGATGCACGTTGGCGGATTTGGTCTCCTGCCTAACCAGCGTGATTAGCCCATCCCAGTCTTCCACTGTTGGTAGGCGCTGTGAAGGACGTCAGAGGGTTGTGCCATGTTGCTCCCCAAAGCAAGATTGCCTCGGATGTTTCATTTGTTTTGCGAAGAGGAGCGCTGCTTGGTTTTTGTTAGCCGACTGCTCCTCGCATCAAGGGCGCAAGCTCCCCGCATATGTTATCGAAGACGCCCACCACGAGTCATCGCCGCCTCCTGTCTGTCGGAAGCGCCTATGTCGTGCAATGTCGAGTGGCAGTGCGGCCACGCAAGTGAATTGCATGGTTCTTTTCTAACCTGTTGGGCCTTCTTGGGGGCCTCCTGGGGCCATCTTGTGCCATCTTGGGGGCCTCCTGAAGTCCTGTTGGGCCAACTTGGAGTTCTCTAGGAGCGTCTCAGGGCGCTCTTGGAGCCCTCCTGCGCCTTTGGAGGCCGTCTTGGGAGGTCTTGGGGCTCTCCGGAGTCCTTGCAGGCCTTCTGAAGACTCCTGGGCCGTTATGGGGCCCGCTTGGGGGCCTCTTAAGCCATCTTGAAGCTCTCTTGAGCCGTCTTGGGGCCCTCTTGGAGACATCTCTGACCGTCTCAGGGCAATCTCGGAGGCGTGTTGGCCGTCTGGGGCTGTCGGAAGTATGAAAAGGCAAGAACCCCCAAATCTCCCAACAGGCAATGGGAAACAACGATTGTGGTCGCCTGGGGTCTGTTGGAGGTCTTCTTGGAGGCCTCTTGCGGCGTCTTGGGGCATTCTTGGACCGCCTTCCTGCGATCCTGGGCCGCCCGGTGGCGGTCTTGGGCCAGCCTGGAGGCCTCTTGCGACCCTCTTGGGCCATGTTGAAGATGATCTGTGACCGTCTTGGGCCGCATCGACGTCGGCACGGGGCCTTTAGGATACCCCCGTTGGAGCCATTCCGGGCGGGAAAAACCGGCGGGAGGCCTGTACCCTTCAAAGGAGCGCTTCTGCAGGGACCCTGCGGGTCGGGCCGAAGGCCCCTGGGAGTGGCTGGGGAGGGGCCAAGGCGTGGTATAAAACCCATCGGGTGTGTCGTGAAGGGGGGCGGTTCTGCCCAGGTGGGACTGGGGGAACGAGCCCGGCTGGATGCCCACAGTGCCTTCTCCCATGCGCCGTTCCGAGCAGTTTTCCTCTGACCCCACCTCTGTCCCTGCCGTCCACCCGCGCATCATAGGGATGAGCGACTTTCCAAGCTTACCCTTGTATCCTTCTCGTTCGGTCCATCCTTGGCCGCTTTCGCTGGCCGCGCCCCGCTCGCAAAGTGTCTGCATGGCCTTCCACGGCCCTTGAATCCTCATAGTGCGTCCTTGTTGCACGTGTCGGCTGTACCCCACCTTTGCGCCCCCCCCCCCGAACCTGACGCACCAGCACCCCTCCGGGAGGCTGCCGGGGGCGGCGGAAATCGAAGATGCCTTTGGCGAGCCACCGCCGACCCACTGCCTTCTTGGGAAGCGCCTGCCTGGTCAAACGTCGAGCGAAGGCGCGGCCGTGCTAGAGGTACAGTCGGACCGAGGTATAAGATCGAGGTCGGTTCGAGGAGGGTACCCTAGTGTTCTTCATGTCTCTTGGATGCTCCTAGTGCATGCCGGGGATGATACCCTTGGATGTTCTATGCGCTTTGGCCGACGGAGGTTCCCATGTTCTTCAGTGGGGTTCTTCTGGCCTAGGTCCGAATGTATTCAGGAGGGGGAAGAAACACAGACACACGTAATCGTGGACTCCCAGGAGAATATGGGAAAATATGGGAAGTGGGGGAGGATGGAAGCCCAGAAAATATTAGAAAAAGTTGGGAATCCGGAGGTTTGTGTTTATTCATTTGTGTGTCCCTGGGCCCCTTATGTGTGTGTGTGTGTGTGTGTGTGAGTCTGTGTGAGTCTGTGTGAGTCTGTGTGTGTGTGTCTTCCCAGCGCTCGGGGGCACCACTGGGGGAGCACTTGGGAAAGGCCCTCTGCGGTCGTTTTGGGGGCTCTACCAGAGCTGTTCTCCTGCCATGTTGAGGCCTCCTCTCGGGCTTCTGCAGACAGGGGAACGCTTCTGCCTTCCATGTGTCATGGCGCCACCATCGCAGAGCGGATTTCGTTTGGAAAACGATCGGATGGGCCTGGAGTGTCCTGGAGAATTTCGTTCCCGATTTCGAGGTGACTTTCGTGCGGATTGATGTTGGCCGGAAATGAAGACTAACAACATCCATGCGAAATTCACGCCGTTTTTTACTCGCTGTTTCGGGGTTTTGCATTGGCAGAAATCCATGCGAAATCCGCTGCAGCACGTCGGCAAGGTCTGAGCAGTGACAGGTGTCTAGGCCCTCCGCAGACAGATCGGTCACGTCGGAGGGATGGCAGCCGATGTCGTCCTGGCTCGAAGCGCGCGGAAGCATTACGGTAACCAGCGGAAATTTGGGCAGAGATTTGCGGCTTGGTGAGGCAGCCTAGGCGAGATACCAATTTCTTGACGCTTCGCGCATCCCCACCAGCCAATCCAACACAGACGCCCAGGCGAGTTGAGACGAGCATGGACGCGTAGAGGCAAAATGGGGGACAGTCGCATCCCAAGAGGGGTACGCTAAGAGGGGGAAGAAGGAGGAGGAATCGCAGGAGGAGGAGGAAGAGAAGGAGAGGAGGAGGAAGGAGGAGGATACCGTGAAAAGGACGAGGAAATGGAGGTGGGGGAGGGGCAGGAGGCGGAGGAGGAGGAGGAGGAGGACAAGGGGCGAACAGAAGGGCTAGACGCCTCTTCAATGCCTTTCGGAGTCTTTGGGGCGTCTGCGGGGGCATCGTGTCGGGCCCATGGCCGTCTTTGAGCGTCTTGGGTGCCTCGGGGATCCTCTTGAGGCCTCTTGAGGGTCTCTTGGGAGCCTCTTGGAGGCCCCTTGGACGCCTCTTGGGGCCGTCTGGGCACCTCTAGGTGCCCTCTTTGGGGCACTCTTGGGAGCTTTAGGGGCAATATTGGAGCCATCTTGGAAGACATCGATCAACCACGATGGGATCTTCAATTAGCCTTGCCCTTTAGAGTGCCTAAAGCCGCCTCCTGGGGCGCTCTTGGAGCGCTCTTGGGTGCTCTTGGAACCGTCTTAGGGCTCTCTGAGGCCTCTCTTGGGCCCTCTTGGGCCATCTTGGAGCCATGTTGGGACATCGGAGGGCCATCGGAAGCGAAAAGGCGAGAACGCAAAAAACAGTGATGTTCCTTGGGTGGTGGAAGGATCTTGGCCTCTTCGGGGCCTCCTTGGGGAGCTCTTTGGCCACTTGGAGCCGTATTGGGGCGGTCTTGGGGGCTCTTGAAGCATCTTGGAAGCCATCATGAGCGATATTGCGCTATCTTGTGCCATATTGGAGGCCATCTTGGGCTCTCTGAGGCGCTCTTGGAGTCGACTTGGGCCACTTGGACGCACCAACGCCTCGCGGACCCCCCCGTCCAGGTCCAGTGGAGGAGGCCCTCCTCGAAGGGGAAGAAGGGGGTTGGAAGAGGAGCCTCCCTTGACCACCTGGGTTCATGAACAGACGTAACGAGGCATGATCCGAAGCCTTGCCTCAACACGGTCTCTACGTGTACCCCATATCCTCGAGGTCATTGCGGCAGTCACGTCGGGCGGGTGTCGAGGCCCCATCCGCAAGGGCTCCCACATGGTCTCCACACTGCCTCAACGTGCACCCCACGTCTTCGAGGACTCTGCGGGAGAGGCACGTCGGGTGGACGTGGAGGCCCTGACCGCGGATGCCACAACATGGCCTCAGCGTGCACCCCAAATCTTCGATCACCGAGCGGGCGTTACGTACGGCGGATGTCCGGTCCGTACCCGCAGGGGTCTCAACGTTGGCGGGAGATCCTCGACGAAGATGCGGGTAGCTCGTTTGCAGTGTGCCGGGGCAGACCTCATCTCGGCGTAACATGCCCCAGACATCTTGTATGGGAGTGTCGAGGCCGATGACCTGCAGTGGCCTCGACGCGGCGCGGCCTCACCGAGGGCCAAAGCCCCTTCTGGGCAGCGGCAGGGCTGGCATGCTACAAGTTGCAGCAGGAGAGCGGCTATGGTGGAGAAGACGCGATGGCTGATACGGGCAAGTTGCGGTCGAGCCAAGCTCATCGAACACATTCCACTACTCACAAAGTGCCTACTCGCAAGCGCAAGAGAAACAACATGCCTGTTTCAATGTAATGTGTCGTAGATCTCACGCGGCGGATCCAGGCCATTTGCGACTAGTCACTTTGCGAGTAGTGGAACGCGCTTGTCTACAATCAGCCATGTATTCCTGAAGAGGCGCGTGGCTCCTGCCAACGATCTGCGTAGATCTGCTTCGGGAGCCTCTGTGGGCTTCAGAGTGTTTTGAGGACAGACTCTGTGAAACGGGAGCGTCCCTGTTGTCGGGCGTGTGGCCGCGTGCCAATTGCCTCGAAGGCGTTTCGAACAACGAAGGATGTTGCAGAATTTTTCGGACCGCTCATTGCTAACGAAGGCTAGGTTTCAGTAGGGCATGTCCCTCTACAGGAGGAATCTTCAAAAATAGTCCAAACATAGTCTGCGGACTATTTTTTCAATATCGTTTGACTATTTGGGAATCTTTTTTGGGTTTTGTTTATAATATAAAAGAATCGTGGAAAATCCCCCTGTAGGGGGACACGCCCAACTTAAGGCTAGGTGGGAGTTGGTGTGCGGGGCAGGGTGGCCTGGCTTTGGGGCTCGAGCGCCTCGGAGGTGGGGCGGGCGGGGCGCCGTGGACCTCGCTGGCCAGCCATGGACGACGCCTTGCTGTGCAGAGTCCAGGCGCTGGTTGCTGCCGAGCCGTCCCTGGGCTACCGAGGGCTGCACGCGAAGCTGAAGTCAGAGCCCGAGTTCCAGCAGGCCGGCCATCGGGGCGGAGGAGGAAGGAGAGCGAGGAGGAGGAGGAGGAGGAGGAGGAGGAAGAGAGAGAGAGAGGAGGAGGAGGAGGAGGAGGAGGAGGACCAGTGGAAACCCAGGACTCATCAACGATGTTGCAGTGAGCCGTCCCGTCAAGTCCCCTCTTCATAGGTCCCTACAAGAATTTCTTCTCACTGCGGGAAGTGCCCCGTTGGAAGACAACCGTTTGAAAATCTCGAGCCGTGCCAGAACACCGGTTTTGGGACTTCACACCGCGAGTCAACGTTTTGCCTCTTGACGATCTTAAATCGCGACAGAACACCATTGCCGAGACGTCATCACCGCGAATCAACGTGATTAATGCGCCCTGGCATTCCTACGTCGTGCCAAAGAACCATGTTTGGGAAGGCAGCCATCAGAATATCTGAAGCTGCTATAAACTCTTAAGGCGAATGTGCGCGGCGCTAGGGAAAGAGCCACATGTTGAAAAGGAGCCTCCCTCCATCCGTGAAGCTCTTGTAAACTTTAGAACGAATGCGCGCGACGCTAAGGAGGGAACCATATTTTGACAGCCGCCCGCCCTCCATCCGTGAAACCTTTCTGCAAACTGTGAAGACCCACGTGCGCGGCGCTAGGCGAGAACCACATTTTGAGGATGACCCGCCCTCCATTCGTGAAGCCGTTGCTAACTTTGAAAGCGAATGTGCGCGTCGCTAAGGCGAATGTCTTATTTTGAACCCGCCCTCCATCCGTGAAGCTCTTGCGAACATTTCGAACGAATGCTCTCGGCGCCCAGGCGAGAACCCCATTTTGAAAACGAACCGCCCTCCATCCGCGAAACTGGTTCAGCTTCTTAGCCCAAGGATCATAAACGGTGAAGAAGTCTCACACGAAACGCCCGACGCGTCCCGGGTCCCGGGGAGCGACAGGGAGGAGGTACTTGTAAGGGAAGGGGATGGCGGAGGAGGAGGGAGGAGGAGGAGGAGGAGGGAGGAGGAGGGAGGAGGAGGAGGAGGCAGACGAGAGAGGAAGATCCTCTGTCAGGATCTTGAGTCCATGACAGGGCGCAGCTCTGCTACGCCTGCTCGCATGCGTGTGCTTGATTCGAAATCTGTACACGGCGCGAGCCATCACCCACCTCAAAGAGGTAAATCGGTTGCACGACGATTTGTAGTCACAGCCTGTACCCGCCACGCAGATACACGGCGCCCTCACACATAGAGAGTCAAGTCAAGTCCGGTCGAGGGGCTTATGGAAGCACCTCGCTACGCAAGGGAGCCGGAGGCTCACACATAGAGAAAAGCAGCATTATGGCATGCAGACAGTTCGCTGCGACATGAGGGCACCCATGGCACCCACTTGCACAGCTGTCGAAGCGCCTTCGAGGCCGAAGCTGTGACGCGTCCCGGAAGCTTAGCTGCGTTCGTGTCCGCGTGGAGACATCCAGTTATATGTCCGCGTCGCTTGCAAAGCGGCAGGCGGCATAGCCAATTTGACCCCACTCCTGACCAGGGAAGCTTCTTGGCGGCACTTTGTCCGCACAGCTAAGCTGTCAACACGGCGCAACGTAGCCCGACTGTATTACTCAATCTGCAGTTTTTGCCATCCAGGGTCCTGCGCACCTCCGGGTGTATGACTTCTTGCTTGCCTGCGTTCCTCTCCCCTGCTCCTCCCATTTTGGGGCGCGTCAGCTTCTGGAGTTCGTGCCCGAGCAGCTACTGCAGGGCAGGGCGGGCGCCTCGTGCGGCCTGGCGGGCGGGCAGGGCAGAGAACGAGAACGGCGGCGACCGCACAGCGCAAGGCGGCCGCAGCCTGGACCAGCCACGGAGTCGACGACAGCGGCAGCCTCGCAGCTCGAGGCCCGAGGACGGCGCCACTGCCGCCGAGGAGCAGCCCCTTCGCCGGGTGGGTTCGTTTTCCACCACCACCACCATGAGCTGGAGGGGGGGAAGGAGGAGGAGGAGGAGGAGGAGGAGGACGAAGAGGAGGAGGAGGAGGAGGAGGAGGACACCCTCCCCCTTCAACTTATGGTGGTGGTAGTGGAAAACAGGCCCAGCATCGCCCATGGATCGGGTTGGCCCAAAAGGGGGTCCAGCGACAAGGGGGTGGTGCAATAGATTTGGTGCAAGAGATTCGTGGGGTTGCAATGCACTTGGGGCGTGGAATACCTTCCGGGGTGCACATGTACTGCTGGACTGTCGCGTGCAATACATTCGTTGCAAATGCACTGCACCACGAGTGTCCGGGGCACTACATTCGCAATCTACAATTGCCCCAAATCTATCGCACCACCTGGACTTAAGTCGGGCCTGTCCCTCTACAGGAGGAATATTCAAAAATAGGCCAAAAATTAGTCTGGGCACATTTTTTTGATTATTTTGTAGCATTTGGGGGGTCTTGTTTCAGTTTGTTTTGATTTTTCGCCCCAAATTCCCCTGTAGGGGGACAGGCCCGACTTAAAGCTGGACCCCCTTATGGGCCACCCGAAATGGACGCGCCGCGCCCGCCCGCGGGCACCTCCCCCTCGGCAGCGGCAGCGGGCCGGCCCCTTCGCTCGCTGCAGGAGTGCCGCAGCAGTGCTGCAGGGGCTCTCGCGGCCTCCTCCTCCTCCTCCTCCTCCTCCTCCTCCTCCTCCTCCTCCTCCTCCTCCTCCTCCTCCTCCCTCCTCCTCCTCCGCTGGGCCCCGCCCGCCCGGCCGCCGTCGCCGTGGCGGCCGTGGCTCAGGAGCGAAGGAAGGACGTCACGTACACGAAGCCACGCTGGTTCCGAGAGTGCGCACCGCGCAAATATTCGTACGGCGCGGCCGGCCTCGCGGATCGAGGGTCCGTGTTCATGCACATAGCTGGGCGCGCATGTCCTTTGTGGGCTCCCCAGTGGCCGGGGGCGCGGCTGCGGCCAAGGGCGGCGCGGATGCCAGCGGGAGCGGCAGCGGCATCTGCTGCGATGCGGCGGGTCGACGCCGCCACCGCCCGCGGCGGCGTCAGCAGACGGGGAAGGGGGATGACTGGGGTTCAGTCGGGCGTGTCCCTCTACAGGAGGAACATTTTAAACATAGTCCATGCAACAGTCTGTGTACGTTTTTTTAGATTTGTGCACATGTTTGATTCGTTTTCATTTTTCATCCAAAACCCGCCTGCAGGAGGTCACGCCCGACCTAACACTCGGGGGAAGGAGAAAGCGACACCAACACCAGCAGGGGGCCACCTCCAACGAGGAGGTCCACGGTGCCTCTCCGAGCTGGGGATAGGGGATGTCTTGAGCGAGAGGGGGGACCACAGCACCAGGGCGACCCCTCCCTGGCTCCTCCCGCTGGTGGTCCCTGGTGGTGTGGGTGTCGCTTGTCCATGTTCCTGGATGATGGCGAGGCCGACATGTAGGAAGTCGTGGCCCAAATTGGCCTCGAGAGCAGCTGCCGCACCACAGGCAGCGCGGCGGCGGGGCGGGAAGAGCGAGAGCAGGGCCCCAGGCCCCTGGACCGTTCCACATCTTAGGCCTGACGCATGACGGCGAGGGTGACTGGCAGCGCGAGTGCTTCCCGGCGTTCGCGGGGATGTTGACGCGCAGGTCGCCGAGTCAGCGCAGCGCTTCTCGGAGCGCCCCGCCGTGTTCGGCCACCGGGCGCGTTGCGGACCTCCCGGGCGAGATAATGCCGCGGCGCATGAGTTTCATGAAGCCAACTTCGGGGCGCCGGCGCTGGAGGTCGCCCCAGCCGCAGCGCTCATGAAGCCGATCGTAGCGCGGACGCTGGAGCCGGGAGTACATATAGTTGTCCTGGCAAAGGTCCGCGGCTGGCAGCAGGACGGTCCTGGACGTCATCATCGAGCTCGGGATGGCGGCCAGCTTCACAGCGTGCGGGTTCCACTGCTCGCAAAGTGGCTACTAGAAAACGTCCAGAACAAAAAAGAAAAACATGTTTGCCTCGATGCAGTGGATTGCCATTCGTAGTTGTTATTGCGAGTAGTGGAGCGCGCTCGTCTACAGCCGCCTGCAGCGCGAAGGAGCGGCGCAGGTGTGCCGCGCCACCCTTGCAGTGGGGGCGCGCATCAAGAAACCATCTGCTTTTCGTCAGGGTATCCTGGGCTTCTTCGCTCCGCGCGCCGCGCGGTGGCTTCCCGCAGCCGGGGAAGGAGCGGCTGCGTTCAGGGTGCTCCGGGCTTCCCCTCAGGTGCACCTCGCGCGCGGGTTTGCAGGGTTGGGTTTCTTGCGAGGGTTTCTTGCGGCCGCGCCCAGACTGTAGTCAAGGGGGCGGCGCACGCCGTGGCGACGCGGGGTGGGGCCCCGCCCTTCGCCAGCCGTCACTGCCGCGGAGAGCGCGAGGCAGAGGCTTCGGCCGCGCGGCGGCGGCCCGCTGGGCTGGGGCGCTGGTCCGCTGCCAGCGGCTTGGTCGCCACCTGCCGCCCTCGTTACCCGAGGCCGAAAATAAAGAAAAACAAATCAACACAAAAGTCTCTATTTTCGGCCTCCGGGGGTCCTTGCCGGGATTCGGGGCCGTCAAAGAAGGACTCGGGACGAAGAACCGATCCCGGGCAAGGGGTCCAGACCTCTGGGGGTCGACGTTGTGACAAGAATCGCGACGTTGGGGGTCTGGGGACGTGTGGGACACCCTGGCGGCAGCTGAACGTTGGTGCGCGCGCACCCGCAAATTCTGGAGGACTGCCGCCTGTGCAGCCGATCCAGATCGTCCCGGGACGCTCCGTGCGAACCCGTTCTGTTCAATACTTTGCGAGCTTCACTTCGGGGAGGCAGGAGAGAGGATGAGGGGGGAGGAGGAGGAGGAGGAGGAGGAGGAGGAGGAGGAGGAGGAGGAGGAGGAGGAGGAGCAGAAATACAAGGGAGGAGGGGAAGGAGTGTGTTGCCAGTCGCCTCTTATAGGCAGTATGTGTTGAATGGACTGGTCGCGCCGTGCCCGCCTGTCGAGCTGGGAGGAGGAGGAGGAGGAGGAGGAGGAGGAGGAGGAGGAGGAGGAGGAGGTCCGGCCCCCGCCCCAGCCCGGCCACAGCCCTGGCCCACTGGCCCACCAGCCCACCGGCCCCGGCCCTGGCCCCGGCCCCGACCTTGGCGGCGCGCAGACCCAGAGATCGAACGCATTGAAAAAGTCAAGGCGGAAGTTTTTCGCAGTTCTCGGCCTCCATGCAGGGGCCCTCGCCGGGCCCCAGGACCGTCAAAAAACGACTCAGGATGAAAAACGGGCCCGAGGGAATGGGTCGAGACTTCCGGGGGGCCCGCATTGAAAAATTCACGACGTCGGATCCCTCTGGAGGGGGGGAGGGGGAGGGGGGAAGGCTTCTCAGAAGGGGGCCGCTTCTTAGAAGGCGTCGGCCTTACATGTATAGAGAAGGCCCGCGCCTTCTAAGAAGCAGAGGTGCATCTAAGAGGCCTTCCCCCCTCCCCCTACGTGCCCCGCTCTGCGCGTGGCCGACGACCGCGGCCTCGGCCCCCACCCCGGCAACCCCCTCAGCAGAGCTGAAGCTCAGGCTGTAGCTCGTTGATAGTTCACACGCCAGAGTGGCGGAGTTGTGCGACGGTTCGTCGCGCTGATGTAAGCTGAAAACTCGTGTCGATGCCTTTCCGCTGAGAGATACAGCCAACCCGCATAGTTTGTCAGGATGGGCAATCTCCCCAAGGGTACCCTTGCATCCTTGCTTCCTCGGTCCATCCTTGGCCGCTTCTGCTGGCCGCGCCCCGCCCGCGAAGTGTCGGCACGGTCTTCCAAGGCCCCTGCATCCTCATCGTGCGTCCTTATGGTACGGATCGGCTGTCGTTGGCGAACGTTCTGGCCAGTCTTGCGCATGCCGTGGCTCGTCTTGCAGTGCTGCGAATCGTGACTCTGGGTTGTTGTGAACGGGTGGGGCACGCGGTTGGACCCCCATGGCTCTTCTCCTCCCACGACACGGGCCCAGCCCGCAGCCGCCGCGCCGAACGAGCTGAGGGGCCGAGAGCGACGCGGACAGCGCCCGAGAGCCTCGTCCTGCTCCTCCTGCTCCTCCTCTTCCTTCTCCTCCTCCTCCTGCTCCTCCTCCTGCTCCTCTTTCTCTTCCTCCGCCTCCTCCTCCTCCTCCTGCTCCTCTCTGGTCGGACGAGATCCACGCCCCTGCAGACGAGCGGCGGTTTTGCACGCCCATGCGGACGTGCATCGCGTGGGCCCCGAGAACAGCAGCAGAACAGAGAGTAGGAGAGGGGAGTAGGATGAGGAGGATGTTGCAACAAGTACTCCCCGCGCGCCGAGTCGGCCTTGCACCCTACTTATTGCACGTCATCTTCGAGAACGCAACAGCTGTTGCTCAGGTCGGACTAGCGTGAAAGAAAGCTGCTTCGGCGTTTCGCGAACAAAGGCGGCCCAGGTGTACTCATCCATAGTCCACAGTGCACACCCTCCAAGACTCTCGCTGCGCAGTGTTGCCTGCTCCCTGGCTGTCAAGGATGGAAGACGAGGAGAGAGGAGGGTAGGGGTAGGATTGGGCAGAGGAGGAGAGGGATGATGAGGTGAGGATGGGGACATGAGGGCGGCGAGAGGGAAGAGAAGGAGAAGGAGGAGGAGAGGGAGGGAGATTGAGAATGCCAGCAGGAGGGTGGGGGTCAGGATGAGGAGAAGAACATGCAGAGACGGTGAGAGAGGATGTGAGATGAGTGGCGGCGGGGAGGGAGAGACACGTAGGGGAACACCTCGTCGCACCCCGTTTCGGCGCACATCCCATGAATGCCACGGTTGAGGGTGGCAGTGATTTTGCGGTATTGAAGTTTTGTGTGTTGGCATGGACTGCAAAGCGCGAAAACACACCTCGATTCCAGCCATAGCATGGCACTCTTTCCGGTATCGGTCATCAGTGCGCGAGTGCAGCCATCGTTTGCTGGACAAGTATCGGGTACATATTTGTTTTTCGTTGGCGGATGCTCCACTCCAGCCTGCTCTCTCAACAACAGCCCACGGCCCTCCCTTGGACCTCCGCCCACTGCATATCCTGTTTTACGCTTCGTGTCCTCCCATAGTTGTGTCTGCAGTGGGTTATGGTTGCTCTGCTTCTCATCAGTAAATACGGGAACCGCAGCTGGTTCGGTCACCGTCGGAGATTTTCAAAGAGAGGCCAAGGATTATGAAGGATGGGCCGGGCGAGCGAGGGGTGAGGCCGGTGATTCACGTTGTTTCTAACCTCGATAAGTCTTTTGTTTTGCGATCCCCTTGTTTCTCTATGCGGGGGGGAAATTTGCCCCTCCTCCTAATGTTCCTGCTCCTCCTCTTTCTCCTCCTCCAGGTCTTCCCCTTCTCCTTTATATCCTCCTCCTCCTCCTCCTGATCCTCCTGTTGCTCCTCCTTCTCCTGATGCTCCTGGTTGCAATCGTGATTGTAATCGTGCTTGCAGTCGCGATTGCGGTCGTAATCGTCGGCGTGGTTGTAGTCGCAATCGCAGTCGCAATCTTAGTCGTAATCGCAAGCGTCGCCGTCATCGCGGTGGAGATGATGTTCCCTCTATTGTATGGGCGGGCTGGAGAATGTTGGGTACTCCTCCTCCCAGGGAGTAATGTCTCCAGGGCAACCCTGCACGACAGCGGGATTTCGAGCACGTTTGCAAGCGGATTGCAATATCAATCGGCACCAAAGGCGTTGCTCACAATCTCCTCTTTCATCTCGTCGTCGTCATTGTTTTGCGGCGGGTGCCGCGGAGAATTAATCATTTTCCATTATTGGTGGGGCCCCAGTCCATCAATAAGGGCGTCGAAACAAGATGATTCGTCTCCATTTTTCTTGGGGGGGCCTCTAAAGACTTATCGCGGTTACCCGGCATGGGATGTCAAGCAGGTTTCGCTCAAGAAGGTGCAGACCGTTCTCCAGGCCCTTCGCCGCGAGGACCGCAATGCATGAGCGCAGCGCCGATTCACACAGTCAGCCTGGCAGCGCGATGGTATACATATGTGTCTGGCATTCGTCCGCAAGTTCTCGGTAGTTATCGGAACGTGCGCACGCCGTCGCAAGCTTCTTATACATGTGTGTTTTCTCTCGTCGTCCATCGTTGCCACTACATCGCTGTCATATTGAAACGATTGTCCCTTGTCTTGCTCGACGACTGACCGACTTAGTCGCAAAGTTATATCGATCGGTGTTTTCGTCTTCGTGCGCCATGCACGGTGGTTGACATATTTGTTATGGTTCCGGCATGCTCGCACATATGTCTGTCACGTTGTGTCTTGATTGTGTCGTTGCAAGCCCTTGCCAACGGGCCGTGGTTTCTTCGCAGGCTCTGAGCCTTTGATCCGCTTCTGTTGCCACCAACAGTCTGAATGTTAGCGCGAATCGACCATGATCTGGTAACTAACGAGACCAACCAGGAGAGGTTGCGACCTCTCGCCCTCCTGCACCCTAGGTCGTTTATTTTCAGTAGGTAGACGAAGTGTGGCCAGCACCCTGGAGGACAGTCGTGGTGTCGCTCGAATTGTTGTTTCCCTGCCGCACCTCCTGGAAGCCAGGGCGCCTTAAGAATTTGCCTGATGTGTTGCTACAACGTCGCCCAGGATCTGCCTCGGCGAAGTCCGTGCATGATGCTCGCGGCGAGCTCGAAGCGACCTTCCTGCCTGGGGCAGTACTGTTGCTGTCGGTGCTCACGCTCTGCAGTCTGATGTGACTGCCGACGACGCGCCGAGGTGCGCCTTGGACATGCCTGGCACGCGTCGCTTCCGTGCGTCCTTGCGCGCTGCAGTCTGCCTGCACTTGCGGAGGTCTTCGGGGGCCCCACCCAAGGTGCCAGCAACCTCCGAAAGCATCGGCCATCCTCCCGCGCCCCTCCCCCCTCCTCTCCGGCCTCCTGCCTGCCTGCCTTCCCGGCTCTCGACGGGGAGCGCCGAGACGCAGTCCGAAACGGGCCCTGCGGGCCTCCCAGAGGATCTCGTCGGAGCGGCGATGCATCGCCGATGCGGCGCGGTGTGGATCCCGAATTTCTCCACGCCGACGGCGACGACGCATCGCCGAATGCACCGATGCATCGCCGATGCAGCGTCGATGCATCGGCGATGCGGTGCGATCCTCCGTCCCTATCTACTTGGACCCCATTTGGGAGGCCTCCGGCTCCGATTGGTCCACAACTTCGTTGAGCGCAGAGCCTGGCACCATCAGACCGCAGACGGGTCTGGTAGCCTGACACGTTGGATGTTAGGTTTTGGCGTCTCGCGTCGCACGCAGGGGCGTGGTGTTCTTTGCGTGATGTCCGCTCGAACCACACCTCCTGATCGGTTTTGGAGGTCGCCGCGGCGATCGCAGCAGCCACACATCGGGCAAGGTGTCTGTCGAGGAGTGGCATGCCTCTTCCCAGCTCCCCGCTCTGCAGTGTAGACGTGGT